ACTAAAGAAAATAAATAAATAGGTATGAACACGATATGAACAGATTGCGAACAATAGTTCATTCATTATAAATACATTCAGGAGCGATCATTTGTCAATTGGAGTTTTATACATGCATTGCATTCACACCGTTTAAGGTTTACCCCTTATTCATATATGTTTTTGATCTTATATGGTTGTTACCCATTGTTTATATATGTTTTTGATCTTATATGGTTGTTCACCCTTGTTCATATCGTGTTCACCCCTTGTTCATATCGTATAAAATATATATGAACACATAACCCCAACGCTATGAACACCGGGTGCAAACACTTACACAAATATAAAGATTTGGTATCAAGCTTAAAAAATAACACTTGTATTTATATGATAGAGGAAGTAACATGAACACAATAGTTCATGATTCATAAAAGTCGGTAATATGACAATATGAAAATAGGTCGTGTGTGTACTTCCATTTGAACATGTGAATTAGGTACGTATTTTAATAATTAAAAAAAAAGCTATCAATAGAAGATGAATTATAAAAAACACAACATATCGTAATGAACATAATTTCGATTAAAACGAATTTAAAAAAAATAAAAAATCTATTATCAAGACATTTGTTTTGGTTAATTTGTTCAATTCTCGACCTCGAACTCCGATTGTCATCATAAACCATCTTAATCTTCTCACTGTTGTCGATTTATTTTCCATTGCGTTTATCCATATTAGCTTGATCGATCCCGAAATTTTTTACTACCGTGTTTTCTATGCAAATTAAAAACTGATAAAACAATGAACATGGAAGATCAAGATTAAAAAAAATAAAAATATTATTATTATAAATGTATATTTTTTGGGATTTGATGATTTGTAACTCCCCATTAATTGTTTGGGAGTTACATATCAAATCAATTTACTGAAATACCATTGTAATTAAAATGTGAACATAACATAAACCTACAAGAAGAATGAAATTTGATTGGTTGCCATGGTTTTCAAAGTTAACACAAAATTGTTGATTAACATTTGATTATATATATATATATATGTTGTAATTGAGATGATTAGAAAGAGAAGAAAAAAAGCGAAAAGAGTTGGACCAATGAAGGAGATTAAGGTTGTGTAATCATTGTAGTTACGCGTTGTAGTTATTTTTTATATTTATGTTGATTAATTAATGCATCCACTTAAAAAAACATCAAACTTATCCTCTAGTTTATCGGTTATTGAAGTTGGTTTTGGTTTTGCCAGTTGCTACTGCAACAGTCGAAAGATGTTTTTCTACTATGAAGATTGTGAAGTCAGATTTGCACAATAAAATCGGTGATGAATTTTTGAATGCTGCAATGATATGTACTATAGAAAAAGAAGCACTTCTCGCAATTTCAAATGATGATGTAATTACTCAATTTCAAAAGATGAAAAGTCGTAGGGCACAATTGTAAGAGGTAACTTTTTATCATTTTTGTATGAAATTGAAGTTAATTATTATTTTATTTTATATCGTGCCCCCTACAATATATTTTTTTGCATCCGCCACTGGATTTGAACCTGAGACCTCCAGATACTTTTAACATTTGGAGCCAATGTCAAACCAATCGAAAACCACCCTTATAGTTATATTTCTGTATTGTTGAAACAAGCGTAGATGACACTTTCGTTATTAAAGGTAAGAATTGCATTAAAAGCATTTGACTACTTATTTGGTACGCTCAAATAAATACCCAATCTTATATATTATATACATGGATAATGTTTAGATTTTTAAGATATCATTCATGATTAATTAAAGCAAAGTTGAACGTTGACCTCAAAAGGGAATGCTTGACTAGTTGACTTGCTGTTGCGAGTTAATTAGTGAATTAATTAGAAGATAAATCTTCACTAATTCTTAATTAATCAACAATTGTGCCACCCAGCTGTCTTCACAACCTATTTAATTAGAAATCTACTATTCTTAATTAGTCAGCAATTTCTTTCTTGCTTCCTTCCTTGAATCCATAATTGAAAAAGGAATTTATGACAAAATTCCTAAATTTGATTCAAAATTATTCAAATATAAAATATTTGAAATAAAAACTTTAAGGAACTAAAATTAGGTGTGGCAAAAAGCGACCCAACCCACGTCACAGACCAACACAATAGTCAACATTCTCCCTTTCCGGTCTCTACCTCTCGTCTCTCTCTCTCTCTCTCTCTCTCTCTCTCTCTCGTCAAAAGACACATATTTCGATCGATGCGGTTGTATGAAATCAGTGAAACTCACTGAAGTCTTCTCATTGTTCCAGTCTTAATCGCAAATAGTAACTAGTAAGCTTTCTCATTGTTACTCATTTCTTCGCATTGTTCCAGTCTCTCGTCCACAAACAAATTTTGATTGTTTTCTTTATTCATTCCCTTTTTTGTCTAAAAGATTGGGTATATGGAGAAGGTTTGTTCTAATTTCTTATATGTATATTTTGTATTATCGTATAGAACCATGTATTTGCTATAACTAAGTTAATTAATTTATTTATTTCTATTGCATAAATGGAATTGCATCTTGAGGCGCTATGTGGAGCAATCATGACAGAGAAGATAGAAGAAAATAATGCCGAGAGTGAACCTGGAGTTGGTGAAAGGGGAAGTCGTGTTACTTAGATTTTAAAGGTTTCCAGTTTATTTTTATTTGTGGTTGTGGTTGTGTTTTATTCATAAAATTAAATAATCTAATCCTTTTTATTTTATTTAAAATTTTAAAATTAAATGGGTCAATCCAGGTTCAACCCATTTATTTAACATGTTTGGTTGAGAAAATCATAAACATGTCAACCCCCTGCCAACCAATTTAGGTAACAGGTTGGGTTGGATTGAAAAATCTCAATCCATTTTGGTTGAGTTGAGATTTCCAACATGTTTAATAAATGGGTTAAACACGAACCGAACCCAACATGACCCATTGTCACCCTAACTAAAATACAATATTTTAACATGTATATGGTTTAGTAGATGTATAAGATGAACTCATAAGTTAGGTTTTGAAGAAAACCTAAAAACCTAACAAAATGGAGAATATGTTGGGTAGATCTTGAATCTTAACCCACAATACTTGAATTCTAACTTGGATGTGCCTTTAATGCTCCTTGAATGCTCCAAATTAGATACAAGGTTTCCTTTGAGGTTTAAATGAAGTGAGAGATGAGACGTATGGAGTAAACGAGGAGGGAGTTAAGGAAAATCGGGTTTATTCACAGCAGGCGACCCATACGACTTCACTAGGCGTTTTACTTGCATCAGGGTCACTCGTGTGCTTTCCTAACCCAACAAACAGTGCCTAAAGCAACTTCAATGCAAGTTTGGCCGCATCAAGGTCGCTAGCATGCTTCAAACGGGGCATAAACTATGCCTAAATCGACTATGTTGCGTCTTTAGCCGCATAGAACCCGCGTTTCTCATTGTTTTTCCTCCCAAAGCCCTTTCTCTTGAGTTTTTAGAGGTATCAAATAAGACCCACAAACGCAGTACTCAAAGGAATTGAATTCTAAACACAATGGGAATGAAAGGTATCTGAAATACAAACTTAATAATTTAGAGAAATTCTGGGTGTTATAGTGTAAGGCTTGAGGCTTGACCACGCTGCCACACCACGCCTCACGCCTTTTTAAACCATGTGCATAGCTGACCGGATATGTTGTGAGTCTTATTAAGTTGCTAACAAACAGGCTCTAAGTCACATACAGTGAATCTTAGAGTTTTAGAGAAAAGGGGAAGAGTCGAGGGGATTTATGGGATTAATGGGGAATCCACTCTTCATGATGGTGTGTCCACTGAATTAGATGGCGGTTTTGTGTAATACCCATAATTCAAAAAGCATGTAAAGTGGAAGCGGTAGAATCTTGAAACATGAAGTTCAATCAATGGTTAATGTAAGAAGTGTTATGCAAAGTATTCAAAAAACGAGAGAATTGAACATAAAAGTAAAAGATAGCCGAGGCCCGTGTTTGACACGGTTTCCCTAAAACAGATTCGCCCCCATGGAGAGCTCGGTTGTGGAAGGAAATGATATAGAGTTTCCCCGATTAAATCATGCAAGAATGAAAACTATTTAAATCGAATGGAAATTTGAAATTCAAAATAAATTTGACAAAACTAATTTTGAGAAGTTCAATGGTTTAAGCATATTTCAGTCCAGTTTTGCATCTCCTATGCGTGCACGTGGCGAGAGTATTTCCTCTTAAAAGTCTTGTTCATATCGACCATGAAATCACTTGTAAACCCATGAGTTTCACTTTTCCACCAATGTGGGACAAACCCACTTCCATTTCTCACATTCCAACATTTATCCTTTACCCGCTACTTTGACAATCAATTTCTCATTCATGTCAGCTCCGTTTTGTACATCCAATGTTGAATCGAAGCTTTCACTAAGGAGTACGTGAAAACATAAATATCTATCTAACCCAATGATGAGTTCAAGTATATTTTTGGGTCTAAATCGGATATAAAACCCAATATTCTCCAAGAGGAAGAATTAAAGGTCATGGTTAAAATTGGAAAATGACTATAGGCTCAAAAAGTGTGGGTCAACGAAGTCAGAAACTGAAATCATTTGACAACAATTTAAAGAGGGAATTAAAGATCGATTACACTACTAAATAAAGGGGTTTCATCGACCGCTTTTTTCATCGAAAATTCGTTTGGATTTGTGACGCATCAGTGGCGGATCACATCTTTTAATTGATAATTTTTTTTTTTGTATTGATGCTAATTCAATTCGTTAATTATATAGTTTCAGTGACACCAGAGTGATCCGTCGGATCACCAAGATCAACCGAGAGCTGCTTGACGTCCCATGGATCAGTTGGGAAAAAAATCCCAAAGGACGTGAGACGCCGAATGTGGGAGGAAATATTGAAAAACATTAAACATCACTATTTAATTTTCACAATTACTAGCTATCGAGAAACATATAATTTCCCATTAAGAAAATATACGACTCCAATTACAACACTAATAAGATAACGTTATATGGTATAGTGTTAACAAGTTCAAATTCTATTCTAAGTTTACAAATAGTTTGAATTCGCTACCAACCCAAACCATCGTAAAGAACTTATGAGAACAAATTCAAACCCACTATCTCATACGATTACAATTTGTCGTAGATGATTGCGTCATGACAATTGCAATGTCCATACTTCGGTAGGACGTGTATTGCAGGGGATCAAAGACGGAATTTCGTGGTTATGCATCCCGATATAGGTTGCTATCAAATAGCTTGAATCGTCTTTATCCCGCTCAACTCTTTTCTTGACTTCACATCCCGTTGACGAACATTTGTAGTAGTTCCTGTTTATTCTTCGGTAAGTTTCGATACAAAAAAACTAAGCTAATTATATGTTTAATTCATATGAAATTTGAATAATATGATCCATACAAGAAGGCATTCAAAGATATTTAACTTGTCTGCACTTAAACATTCTAAAACAGAAATCCAAAATGAGAACAATAAACAAATGAGCATAAATTCGAGCATAACTCTTTTTTTTTATTAACCTGAATAACCAACCTGCTATGCGAGTTGACTAATCCCAGGACGACCACTTGCTTTGCAGATAGCCCGGAGTCACTGCATTTGAACCTCCGTGGCCACAAGGGAATTTCTATTCGAGCAAACTCATATGTTAACGTGCAGGGTTTTGGATTTTGAGAATGAAATACACGTGTTAACTCGTGTTCTATATGTAATATGTTAACTCGTGTTCTATATGTAATATGTTAACTCGTAGCACTAACATATATAATATATATGTAAACCTTGTATTGTTTGTGTGTATTTGACGCAGCAGGAAGTTGGCGTAGGATCGACAAACGTTTAAACCTAATTAAAAGCGAGCTTACAGACGTAAAACTCAAATATATATCGAAGAACTTTCTAAGAGATTTGATTATTAGTACTGAAAAGCATGAAAACTAAGGTTAGGCTAGGGTCCTTTAGGACTAAGAAGACTAATTGCAATAGGAAACTAATATGGAAAATAAGGAAACTAACTACAACAAAATCGGGTTTATAGGACACTCCCAATTTCTAAGCGTCCTAATAGACCTCTTTATAAGACTTAGTTTATAGAACCAAAAAAATAAAGCGTCCTATCTAAAGGCGTTGTAATAAGTTTATATGACATTTTTTTGATGTCGTAATAAGTTTTTTAGGACACTTTTAATATAAAGCTTCCCATTAGCAACTTTATAGGACATTATTTGAAAAACTGTCATATAAAAACAAATGTCCTATAAAAAATTGAGTTTATAGAACACTTTCTCAAAAGTGTCCTATAAAGTTGTTAATTCGACGCTTTGTATTAAAAATGTCCTGAAAAACTTGTTAAGACGCCCAAAAGCGTCATATAAGCTTATTACAACACCTTTATATTTTGGTTCTATAAATTAAGTCCTATAAAGCGGTCTATTGGGACGCTTAGAAATTGGGGATGTCCTATAAATCCAATTTTGTTGTAGTGATTTATCAAAAATAATTAGGAACCTAATGGAAAAGACTTATTTGGCCTTCTGTTTCGTTTGTCGATCATCTCTTCAAACTCAGTGGCTAGTCCCTCAATATCATTATCGCTACTATACTATACTTTCAGTTAACAATTCCGTTAATTAACTTTGAACCAACATCGATCGGTAAGAAAACTAAACAAGAATTTTAAATTATTCACGATAAAACCACATTAGACTTGATCATTATAAAATGGATTTTTCTATATTCTTGTATAGCCCTTTGTTGTTAGTTGATTTTTTTATTAACCTAGATATCCAATCCGCTATGTGAGCCGACTAATTCCAAGACGACCACCTGCTTTGCAGATAGCCCGAAGTCACCGCATTTGAACCTCCGTGGCTACAAGAGAATTTTTATTCCTCTTTGAATTTGAAGATGTTTTGTTGTTAGTTGTTAGTAATTATATCATTTTATTTGATTGATTTTGAACACAATCAGATATATATATATATATATATATATATATATATATATATATATCAAATTTAGAAATAACCAATGGCCTAAAACTTCAACTTCGGATTGAAAATGAAACCTTGCATGCGAACAAATTCAATTGCCCCAAACGTACGATACTAACTTTTCTTTTAGTGATGTTTTTTTTTATTAACCTGGATATCCAATCCCTCTATGCGAGCCGACTAATCCCAGGACGACCACCTGCTTTGCAGATAGCCCGAAGTCACCGCATTTGAACATCCGTGACCATAAGGGGATTTTTATTTACTGATGTACGAAATAGTCCCTCTCTTATGGTTGTTTTTGTGTGCTATGTATCTTATGATGTTAAATGCAAGTAAGGTATATGCTGTATGCATCAAGGCCCCAATCCCCATCCCAGAACAGAACTAACACAGAGAAATCATGAACTAATAATAACAACACAACATATTTAATCAAATACTAAAAGGGTGACAAAGAGCCTCATGAACATTTAAGATCTTGTTATATATCAAGTTTAGATATCGATCAAATATGAACGTATAGGAACTGAATCACTTTCGTCTTCACCTTGGGTGCGAATTACACGTAGCTAGGTCGTGTTTCACGTCATCTATTTTGACGGTTTTACTATTTCTACCTTGTGATAATCGCGATACATGCATCAAGTGAATGTGGTCATATTACAAGGTTGAAAAACCTATATCCACCCCTAAGAAGCAATTTGAATGACTATGTTAAGAGTTAATTCATCTATCACAACACCAGACAGATAAACGGATCGACTTGAATGATGGTGTATCAAGAGCTAATTTACCTATCGGAATAATAACAAACCTAACTTGAATGATTGTGCATATAGTGAGAGACGAAATTGGCTAACGATACACGGTCATAACTGTTACAAGGAGCTTGTACAGACCAATGACCATCGTTGAGCAACAAACTGGTTTGATCCTTATATACCCTGACGATAAAACTAGGCTAGGTTGTTCTACCATGATTAATTCTTGAAGGATTTGATAAGATAACACATCAATCGTGTCGATATAATAAAGAAACAACTGTTTAAGACGTAATTGCAGCTAGCTAGAATATAACTTTGAACACTTCATGTAACAGATGAGGGTTTCTCTCCCATTGATATGCTATCTATTTCAATTATGCCAACTTCCCTACCCAGATGGAACAGCATGCCCAAAATCCTTCCAAACCATTATTAGACCACCAATTGAGGACCAAAATTTCGACACATAATATGAAAAATAACCGAGCTCTCGTTTAAAATCTGGTTTTCATTTGAGATTAAACTCTAATTTTCTCTGAATTCACATAAGTGCAGAAAGGAAGAGAAAGGGGTTCATATTGGTATAAACATAAAGTCCCTTATGATGATTTGGATGAATATGGTTAATTACCTTAGATTAGGACTACTTTTAACCTTCTTCTTGCCATACTTCCTCCATCTATAGCCATCATCCAACACCTCGAGCGCTGTTTTTACACGAAAAGAAATCTTCGTTTCATCAGGCACCCTCTCTCGATTGAACTCATCTCTACATTTTGCAACAAAAAGGCGATTAAAATAAGATCTGATATAGCATGTTCAATCTAAATCAAACAAACATCCTATATATATACATATATATATATATATATATATCACCTTACTTTGTGATGTATATATAGTTAACAAGCGAAAAAACGAACTGTAAAACACACACCCAACTAACATGCCTGTGAAAACTATCTGGTTGTGGCATGCAAGTATCATCAATAGAAATGTGAGAGCTTTCAGCAGTATTGTTGGCAGTGGTTAAATCAAGCAAGACCGAGCTTTGCTCCTTCATACTAACATATGCTGGGAAACTCGAAGAACTAGAATCTTGGTAACTTGGTAGATCTATAAACAATGGTGGATTAGGATTAGGATTAGGATTAGGGTTATGGATATAATACAAGGTATGATCAAAATCGAACAAACGATAGATTGGATCATCGTTAAAGCTGGAGAAAGGGAAGTTTAACGAAGAAGATGAAGAAGAATTAAGATCTTGAGATGGAGGAAGACTTGTTGGTGGAAGGGAGGCGTCCATGATCCACCTGAGAAATTGTAGAGGAAGGAGAGCAAGTTATTGGTTGGTCAAGGCGTGCTGCCTTTTTATAAAACTTTTGAGTTCTTGACTTTTAACTACATTCTTCTTGATTGCAACTGGAATAATCTTATTCTAAATGAAAAGGGTGGTGTTTGATTGATTTGAGCTTGACTTTAAAAATTAAAAGCATCAGAAGGTCCCAGGTTCAAATTCAAGTAGGAATAAAAATTCCCTTGTGGCCACAGAGGTTCAAATGCGATGACTCCGGGCTATCTGCAAAACAGGTGGTCGCTCGGGGATTAATCGGCTCGCATAGCGAGTTGGATATCCAGGTTAATCAAAAAGTAATCTTATTCTAACTTTTAAATAACCAAAATTCATAAAAAAATAGAAATAATGCACATTTTTGTTTTCTAGATTGTTTATTTAGATATAATAACAACAAGGACGGATCCGGGCTTGTGATATAATAACAACACGGGATTGTTTATCTAGATTGTTTATTTTTCCCAATTTTTTTTTCTTATGGTCAAATGGTGCCACCATTTAAAAAAATTTCTGGGTCCGTTCCTCATAGCAACAAATGTTTATGTTTGTCGGATGTAATGTTTTTATAATTACAATGATTTAATTAAAATTTAGATAAAGTACAATTGACACAAATATAGATTTTAATCCATTTAGTTTAATTAATGAAAATGTCTATTATTGTCATTAATGTTATTATTCACATTATTATCTAATTGACTTAGTTGACTAAAAATCAAAGATAACAACTCTAAAAGTATTTTTGTAATTTATATAGAAATATGAGTTATATTTGTTATGTTTTATAAATAGTTTTTTTTTTTATAAAATATTTTAATAAAATATTCAATTTAATTATTAATTACTATTTACAAGTTTATTAATTAGTAAAGATTTTTATATGTTTGATAAACTTTATTTTTATTCATATTATATGTAATTGTTACATATAATCATTGATAAATATAAAAGAAATTAAAAGTTCATATTTGGCACCGAAATTGACGATTTTGAAAAGTTTGTTATATGCCTTGACATTCGGGATGGAAACATGGTAGATATTAGGTGGAGTAATGCATCCTGTGTTCCTGACCTCGACCCCTGTTTAATCCTCAGTCCTCATCCGCCCCCCTACTTTTCCCCAATCGGTTTAGGGGGAAGGAATCCCTAAAGGAACCTGTGGGGTACTTGCTTAGTAAAAATCAACGTGTTTTAAAATTAAAATTGTAATGAATCGTCACTACATTAATTATCAATATTGAAAATCAAATATATTTATCATTTAAAAATAAATGTATACATATATACATAAATATCTGTTTATACATGAACTATATATATTAAATAAAATAAAAAGTTTATCAGGGTTGGATTAGAGACGGGCAATGTCATCCCTGACCTCGCGATGATCCACTCTTCGTGTATGAAAATAAATCATCATCCCCTCCCTATTATCCGTCAAACCGAAGAATCTCCACCCTGTTAGAGCCGGATACCCACAGGTAACCGCTCCAACAGGTAAAATGTCCATCTCTACTTAACATGCGGGCCATGCCATAAAATGCTTGCAAATAGGATATGAATTGCAATGATTTTCTACTAAATCTAAATAATTAGAAGAAATAATATTTGTATTTTATTATAATATAAAACAAAAAAATACACCATTTTTTATGAAGCATTATTTATTTTTCATATTCAAATGACAATAGCCAAGATCAATCACATATATTTATTATGATTCTGTTATCGTCATTTGAATTTGAAAAATAGTTGTTAGCTTCTTTTATGATAATGAAAATAGTATATAATCATTTTCTTTTATTGACTTATTATACTTTTTTACTGATTTATTGATAATCGATAGAAAATAGTATATTTTTTTCATTTTATCTTTACTATATTATAAAACATTTAGACTAAAACTCTTAAAAACTATTTTTTATGTATCATATACCACTTATTAATGCATATTACTTAAAATTCAAAATTACAAGTTGAGTATAAGTATAACTTATTAAAAACTCAATGTTTGAATTTGTGTAACTAACTGCAGATAAAGATAATCAATCGCGATAAACATTTAGCTTATTGATGCATATTACTTAAAATTTTAAATTACGAGTAAATTGTGCATAAGTATAACTTATTAAGCTTCATATTGGAATTCGTGTAACTAACTGTAGATAAATATAATCAAATACAGAATAAAATTCTCATTTTAAATATATCTAAAATATAATTAGGACAATTATTGACTTCTAACAGAATGTTCAGTTATTATTTTTATAAAAATTATATTATTAAACCAAAAATAAATTACTTTGTCATTAAACCTAAATTAAATTATAATAAAAAATAAATTAAAGAAATTACACACAAAAAAAAATATGAACTTTTATATATTTTTAAATTTTTTATGATATCATCAAATTTATATTTTATTAAGAAAAACATTATTTTTTGCTCAAAACCACACAAAAAAAATAAGAACTTTTATATATTTTTAATTTTTTTATGATATCATCAAATTTATATTTTATTAAAAAAAACATTATTTCTTGCTCAAAACCACATAAATTTGTATTATAACGTCGACATAGACCATATATACTATATTATAAAATATTTGACAAAAACTCTAAAGAACCATCTTTTATACATGAAGTACTGCTTAATGATGTATATTACTTAGAAATCAAGATTACAAGTAAATTGTGCATAAGTACAACTTATTAAGCTTCATATTGCAATTCGTGTAATAGTTGTAGATAAATATAATCAAATACATTATAAAATTTTCACTTTAAATATATCTAAAGTATAATTAGGATAATTATTGACTTCTAACAGAATGCTTAGTTATTACCTTTATAAAAATTATATTATTAAACCAAAAATAAATTACTTCGTCATTAAACTTAAATTAAATTATAATAAAAAATTGAATTAAAAAAAATTACAAAAAAAGGAGAACTTTTTTTATATATTTTTATTTTTTATGATACCTTCAAATTTATATTTTATTAAGAAAAATATTATTTCTTGCTTAAAACCACATAAATTCGTATTATAACATCGACAGAGACCAAAAAAATAGAATAAAACATTGAAATCGAGATATATCTCGCTGTATTGCACAAATACCTTTCTAGTTTTCTAAAATATCTAAAAAGTTTTAAACTTTTATTAACTAACTAATAACATAGAAAAAAATACGAGATAAAACACCTCATTTTTATTTTTTAGTTTAAAGTCTATTATCTCTTTATTTTAATACAAAATATCTTAAATATAGTTAACATTTTAAATTAAAAAAACCCTAACAAAATACTTTATCATTATTATATTTTAAATCTAAATATGATAAAACTTAAATTAAATAAATTAAACCGAAAAATTAGAATTTTATAATTTTTAGTTTGAAACCCATATTTATATTTACTTTAAGATAAAGTAATAATAAACCAATCTCTAACTTTCTCAAACCGTAAAATAAAATCGATAAAGACAAACAACAAAACGAAATACGGATCATGACATGAAGGTTCGAATTCTAGATTTCAGAATCACACGTTGCATTGCACAAGTATACTTCTAGCTATTCAAAAAAATGTCTAAGAACTTAATCTTTCAATACATAAAAGTTCGTTAGGTTTCCTTGATTATAAAAAAAATGTAGAGATTTATTTGTTTGATTTTAAAAAGTTGCGAGGATAATCATTTAAAATGTGAAAGCTTCTTTTGGAGTTTTTTGAACTTTTCTACCGTAGTCATGATTACAAATAAGATAGTAGTATTGACCTAGATACATGATATCTTTTGTTTTAGTGGCCGTTTACCAAACACTTACCCGGTAAGTGCTTATCAGTAAAATTTAACACTATTATTTATTTGACGGGTAATATTTTAATCCACCAAAACGACATCGTATGCAACAATTCACCCGGTAAGCGCTTACCGTGGTAATTAAGAGTCGTTGCCGTCACTTACCGGGTAAGACTTTTGGTTCTTGTCTCGCTCTTACAAGGTAAGATTCTCGATCATTATCACATTCATTCGGTGAAGTAATATTACTTGGTATAAATAGTTATATCATCTTTAGCTAGGCTATGCATTCACAAATGATGCATTAATTTGAGCCTCATATAAATGTATTGATCTCTTCATGATGTGTTGTGCGACAAAGGTAGGTTATTTTAACTGACAATAAGGTTTGAGTTTTGAGAGTGATCGTCATAAATTGTAAGTTCGAATCTTTTTAAAATCGTTAGAAATTATTTTTACTGTTTTTTAAACCTCATAGAATTAATAAAAATCAACCCAAATACCAGAGTTAAAAGAAAAATTACGAGGTGACTTTCCTTAACACCTTCCTTAAGAGAACATAAGGATTCGTCTTATTGGTGCCACGTGTCAACTGTATTTAGGACTTGACTTTTCGAATTGCCACGACGACCAGAATCTATGTTCTTTTCGTTTCTTTACCGGCAAAGAAGGCAAAAGTCTCTTTCATGTAATTAATTGGAGTGGATCTTAGAAATTGCAATTCATAATTCTTTTTTCATTTAGAAAAACATATTTTTTAATATTGTTTTTAGCAAAATGTAATATTTATTTTATAAGTTTTTTTATTTAAATTTGAGTTTATAGGGTTTTTAAATGATATTTCATGTTTTTAATTATCAAATAAAATTTATTATTACATTATGGAGTAAAATTTCATGGTTTGTTGTTGTGATTTATGATATAATGCATCGTGTTCTTGTTTTAAAATATCTATGGATTATATTCATGTAGTTAAGAAACAAGAAATTAGGAGATGAAAAAGTTTGCAGGTGGGAATGGTTGTCGGAGTAGTTGTGGGCAAATTAGCATAAGATTATAACAAAAATTCTAATTAAATTAATAACAAACTATAAACGCGATAAAAGATGGATTAAAAAGGAATGGAAGATGAATTTGGGTACATAAAATACAGGTAAAGGATAAGGAAAACA